CAAAAAAAAAACACGCCGAATTTCACCATAGTCGGTTGTTTGGAATGACAGTTTACGCAAGTTGTCATTAGTGGCGATACAAGTACCTCCCTAAAATTTCGACTTCTTAATTGTGCCTATAATATACTGCCGGCTGAAGCGCTGGACCTCAGCTTATAGTTAATTAGTTAGTGGAAAAAATCTGAGACAAAGACGGAGCAGCGTTAAATTCATAACAGTCTTATTTGTTGTATGTGCTGAAATTTACGGAGCTTTGAGTGAAATTCTGCCATGTGGTTCTGCTAAGTAAAGGTTGCTTTAATGAAATTTCAATATTGATTAATGTGGAACATACTTTTGGGGTATTCCAGACCCGTAGAATGCTGGGCCTTGAAAGAGCTGCGTTTTGATAATCTGTAAAAAATTTTATATACGTCTGTGCCACAAAATTAAACGGTCGATTTAAAAAAAAATTGGTTCAGTCGAAAACGATACGTTTGGCGACATATAAAATAGGTTTTGTCTCCAAAACACTTGGACGCCGACTTTGTCGTAATGTAAAAGTGCCATGTGTTAATAAGCAGCCTGCGCTTCGCATTTTGGAAGTACTAAAAACCTTAAATACTATTCGCATTCGGATGAAAATGAGGTCTAAACACTTGAAACTCCCCACTTTGCTAATAAACGTTCTACATCCGACCTGGTTTTCACAAGACTGTAACTGATCGCCAGAAATGGTGAGCTAACGTCGTGTGTCTCGCGTGCATCCCTAAGAAACAACTGGTGAGTCCATGCAAAGTCCCTTATTTTATTTGATTAAATGAAAGTGAAAAAAGACTCACGAGATGTACGCTTTCTTCTGAATTTTGTTTGGTATTCTTGGTATTGTTAAGATCTTCACATTTTTTACAGTGTGGATAGATAAGACCAAACTTCAGCGTAGAGTTTACAGTTAAGACGATAATAAGAAGTCGTTTAGTATTCGGCTGTTGAATAGTTGCGTCTTTATCTATCACAAGCCGACTGTCGACGCAGTAAACTAGGAAGAATTTTGGTGGAAAATGAGCAGCCATCTAATCTTTAGGAAAAATTCGAAACTTCGCGCAAGTTGAGTCTTCAATAGCTGACATAACCTATCTTAGGGGTCTGTACGTTAGCTTAGTGGTTATTCGAATCTGCCTTTCTGCAAATACAATGGGAGTGAGCTAGATCGCCAAGCCGATTGAAGTTGTGTGTTACTTTACTGACGGTACTGAAGTAGTTTATAACGAAGTCAAGTACGATAGCGGGAATTTTTAAGCCGGTTTTACTTTAAACAATAACTTTTATCAGCATAATAAGGGTTATAAATCCTCAGAAAAGTCTATCATGTTATTTTGATAGTCTCTTGGCTCCAGGAAAAAATCGAATTTCCACTAAATAGTTAGGAAATTGAAGTGAAAGATCTACAATTAAAATAATGGGGAAACCCCCACACAATATAAGGAAGCAGCATGAAATATAAGTCTAATTCTATGAGGAAGCACGGAGGAGTCTTTGAGTTGATTGTCCTCTCCGTGTTCTACTTTTTTTGAAAATGAACCCGTTTGTCTTGACGTATAAAGTAATAAAATGAAAATACATTTTGAAAGCTTTAAAAGATCGAGCAGATTTGTGCAAGAAAGTTCAGTTTATTTTGTAAAGGGCACTAAACAAGCATAGTTGATTCGATATGGTCCTACTGCGACTACGCATGACTATAAAGGTTGACCATTATTGAACCGCACAAGATTCAAATATTTCAGAAGCAGGCCTTTTGTATTTCCAACTAAGATTTATGGTAGGCCTTCAAATTGTTCTCATTTATGTTACGCACTTGCACATTTTTATTGTTTGAACTTAGGAAATAACCAGTTTTGGTAATCTAAGTTTTGACAACGAATATGCTATTTCGATAAGAAGTGAACGTGCTTGTCGTGTAAGGTTTACTGCTCGTAGACTGCTATTCCAGGTGGCCAATGCGTCTGCAAGATTGGCATCCTAGACACCTACGTGCGCCACAGAGAATTATCTTTGTTTCTCTAAGATGATTTATGAGTTCATATTGATGAGATACTCCACAAAAACATACAAAAAAACACGAAAAACACACAAAAAACCACAAAACATACAAAAAACAAAACAAAACATACAAAAACAAAACAAAAACGCACAAAACGTACAAAAACATACAAAAAACGTACCATTAGCAAGTCAGAGTTACCCTTGTGCACAGTTGCGCCCCAGTGAAGTTCAGAATGTCTGAGCGTTTTCACTGAGCACAAATACGGCACGTTTAAAATCTTAAAAAAGGTACCCTAATCAAAAGGAAAACGAATTTGCTCGTTACTGTTCCCAGGTTTCTATTATATCTCAAATGTAGGCGCAAACGTAATGTGAGTACTTACCAACGGCAATCGATTTGGTTGCCCTTAACGTAATAGCAATTTGGAATTTACTCATCTTCTATCAACTAGGAAAATTTTGGCTTGAAGTAAACCTTGACTTTATTGCTCCGTTTTGCAGAGAAGGCCGCTGAGAACGAACCAGCGTGGATCGAGGCTGCTGTACTACTGGAGGAAACGCTGCTAGTATGGCGTTTAGAGGTTAGTTAGACAGATGTTGTTCGAGTTTGTGTGTTTTTTAGCTATCACTTGTCCCCGATACGTCCAAACTCAGAAGA